TTTTTTTTTTACAGAAATAAAACACTACCTTATGTTTTTGGCCAATATGGGAAAATATTACTTAAATCTTAACAAAATGAATTTGGTAGAAAAAGAAAAAAGTCCTATGTCAACACTATTCCTCACGTCGGACCAAATGTAATATTGCCAAAGTATTGTATAAATAATACGCTGTGGGAAAACCAAAGCAGTCTTGTTTCCAGCTGTTGCTAAAATGTAAAAAAAAACAACAACATTCCATTTTTGATTAGTTTAGAATTCAATTTGAACAGTACTCAATGCCGTCTTTCTGTTTATTTTCTTCTCATTTCAGGAGGACATGAACTTGAATGAGGAAAAAAAGACTCCTTTGAGAAACAAGGACCTCAACACCAAGAGAGAAATGGTCATCCAGTATATTTTTACTGCCTCTAAAACTGTAAGTTTTTCTTATTTATTTATTTTTAAACTTCATTTTTCTTACTTTTTTGCTGCCTAACTTTATATAGTTGCATGATTTAATGTGTTCAAATGTTTTGTGTTTTTAAGACCTTATATACATCATTCCATGTATCTTTCAATTATGTCTCACATTTGATTATTCAATGTAATCTCATTTGTCTGGCCATGCATCGCTATCTCTTGTAGGAGATGTTACATCTGCACATTTGTAAAAAAATACACATATTTTTTTATTGAGAATAGGAATATTTAACAGAGAAAAAAAGTCATTAAAATGTTAAATTAAAAATAGCCATGATGTCAAAATGGTACCTTGCAAGAATTTACAAAATATCCCACAATTATAGTGAGGGCCTGCTTATGTTGTGGACGGATGGAACCCACTCGCCAATATCCAAATAAACCCAATATTTGCCTGTTGCCTTGATGCACGCTGAGCTTCTCTCTCTTTCTCTTGGGTTTGCTCACCTTGTCCCAAAAGGTGATCAAAATAGACTTTCAGCTTTGATGATTTCTGTTGCTTCCGGGCGATAGGGCATTACAAAATAAATTGTTGATGCTGTTGAGTAATACACAAATGGATGAGGTTTGATTTTTAATTCTGAGTAACAATTTTGAGTGCTGGAAGATAATTGATTCGATTTTGCGAGCGTTCTTTCGCGGTTGATTGGTCCTCCTTTGAAGTTTCAGCATGCAGCCCTGAGCTGTTCTTCTACTCGCCCTCAAAGAAGACAGACGGGTCTCGATAAAGGGTGATAAAACTGTTAGTGTTTAGAGGAAAACGATTTGATCTCCAAAGAAAGAGGAACTATGGACCTTTCTTTCTCTTCCACACCAAAAAAAGGTCGATTCCTCTTACCCTTAAGACTAGAATCCTATTGAAAGACTACAATTTGCAGGTGATACTCCATTAAATATCTACCCAAGAGTGTGTTCATAGCTAATATGATTTCAGTCTATGATACTTAGTTTGAATAATACTGAAAACAGCCTCCCTGAGGCCTTTTTTAAATTGATTTTATGTAACGTAAGCTTTAGAATAACCTCTTTCTGATGGCACATACTAACTTAAATAAACCGTTGTTAATAAAAGCCACATACAGTATCTTAACACGTGCTCTTTGATGACAGCTGAGATTATCTTTCACATGTTTGTTTCAAAAAAAAAAAAAAAAATGTTTTTGAGGTAACAAGTTGGCAAAGTGCATTTATTATATTCGCTGTAATCAGACATCCCTCCAAAGAGGCCTGAGGCTGTCCATCTCTAGTTACCATGGGGACCAGCCTGTTTGTATAGCCAGCATTTGTTTACCTGCACGGGTAAAAAACACTAAATGTTGCCTCTGGCCAAAATGCAACAAATTAAAATCCTTCAAAACAGCAGTTTTATGAAATGCTACATTTACATGAGTTGTGGTAAATTCTATGTTGACAGAGGGAGGTCTTTAAATAAGCATGTAGACATGCAGCATCTCTCTCATATCTGTGATTACTGAGTTCATATGTTGTATGGATGTATGTTGAGAGTACATTTAAGATACTCAGTTAGGCAGTTAGCCATTGAGATTTTTTTTTTTGGTGACGGAACAAGACGGTAGAGATTCACAGATGCACAGTGGGAATCGCTTGTAAAACCACTCCTCGCTGACTACTAGGAGCGTCCTCGACCAAAGAAATTCTTAGTCGACTAACACTGTGGTTATCAGAGATGTGCTCCTAAGTTTCTTGTAAATAAGTCATTCACATCAAAATGAAGGTAGACTTTGAAGGTGGGTGTGGTCCCAGCAAGGCTGGCGGAAGGAGGGGAAGTGGGGTAAGTGGGGAAGGGAGCCAGGCTGAGAATACCTGGTCCACCTTAAAGGTCAGGCCGACCCCCTTCACTTTAATTAGCAGGTGGCCGGTAAGCCACGGGACCTTGGCTTGGGTCTTGAGGAGTCGTAACATTAATTCAGCGACAAATTGCCTAAACTGTAAACGCAACGAACTGCTACGTTCACAGCTATAACGTTACTAATATCTTTATTCTCACCATCCAACCCGCTCCTCTCTTTCTCAGCCGCACACTCGCTAATGTTACGCACACAACCTACACGGTGAGTTATTCCAGAGGTTGCTACTTTTCTTTAAGATGTTTAAAAAACATCTTAAAAATACAGTGACAGAGGAGTCAGTGGACTGTTACAATTCTCTTACTCAAGCCCAAAAAAAAAAAAATGTATTCCTGACACACCCTTCTTAACCCCTTTAATACCGCATCCTCATTGATGTATGCTCCTTGCTGATATAGTCAAGGGTGGTGTGCAGCAGTTGTCCTAAAATAACCAAAAGGATTCTACTTCTTAGAGACCCCACTGTGTCGACTTGTCTGCGGTTCCCCTGCTGCGTAGGAGATTGTGTTTTACTAAGCGTCACCTTTTTAAAATACCTGGAAACTATTTCCAGAAATGCCTCTACTCTACTTGTTGGCTGCTATAATTGTTCTCCTTTACACCTGTGAAGCTTGTCACTTAATAGCGGGCCCACCTCGAAAGTTCAGCCCACCTTAAGTGAGCCTAATAATATAGCATGGGAGCACTTATCAAGCTGGAAACGAATATCCTCTAATGGAAATAAAGAGGTAGAAGGCTCACAGGGAACACTTTCTGAATGTGGACAGGACTGAGGTTGCAGGCGGGTCCACACCTCCTCTGATTGCAGCAGTCGGTAATGCTGTAGAGAGAAAAGGCCTAAGACGGCACTGTTGCTGCCACGAGCAGCACTCACGGCTTCCTCATGGTTGGACTGCTGAAGGCCTTTAGAGATGCAGAGCAACAAACAAGGCCGGTCATCATCATCTTGTCTTCACAGAGAGGGAGGGAGGCAGACACGCACCGTATCGTTGATGGGCTGCTATGCAGGCAGGCAGCGGGTACAATCGGTGAAATTGCATGCCGCTGCTGACACTGGAGGGTGGCGGTTGTTGTCGCTGAGGAGTACTAGAGTCATTGGACCACAAGCTGATTGGAAGGAGGGTGGATTTATACGCCTGGTGGTACTGAGGCAGAACCCCATCGGGGTAAACCAACGGCAAAGTTCTTTTCTTTTTCCAGAGGTTCAAACTGCATACCAAGCTCGTCATTTACTGCCACACAAGAGACTTGGAGCTGGAGCCATGATGATGTTTTTTCATCTCTTGGCTTTCATCCAACATGCACATGCTCAGTTTCATTTTCTAAGGCTATAGATGTGTTTCTGATAATTATGTCACACATTCTTCGATGATTGAAGATGAGGATTTTTTATTTATTTTTTGAAAGTAAGATCTTGACATCTAATGTTATATTTATCATGTATTGAGGAGGATATCATAGATTTGGGCTTCAGGTGTAAAGGGAGAGCCAGACTGGGCATAGTTCTATTGTTTGGCAGCTTTGGCACGTCGGGGATTATTTATTCCTGCTGGTAGCGATACAAGCTGATTCCGGAGGCCTTTTGTTGAATGAAAAAATGTACCCAACGATATGTGATGTTATGGCAAACCATATAAGTGTAGCTTTCACTCCACAGGAAAGCTTCAGCTTTAATTGTGTTGCTCCCGTCTTCCTAGACTGTGAAATGTGCAGGTACATTCACTAGTCTGGTGAGATGCATGCAGGGTGTTATTAGACCGGGGAGGTACATTGGCTGTTTTGTTTCTTCAAATCTATGGTCGGATACATTTGAAGTTGTGGGTGAGAAATGTAAACTTTCTCAGTTAATTGCTGTGATTTCTGTCGATGGCAACATTTTGAACCAATATGAAAAGATTATCGATTCTGTTGCCCTTCGTAAATGTGCTACCTGGGTAATGTGTCATTTTGGTGTTTAGATATTTAGAGATTTGGAAACTAGTTAAGAGAGCATCATATCAAAGAAAACAGAGGGAAGTATAACCTAGGCTTTAGGCTTTGACCCAAAAGCCTTGAAAAACGAGATGGTCAAAAACATTCGGTTTTACTAAACGTCAGTTTTAAATACCACTGTTTATGGTGTTTTTTATTATTATTATAAGCTAAAATAATCCTTTATTAGTCCCGCAGTGGGGAAATTTACAAACTACCCATGTTAATTAAGAACATATTTTACAGACACTGGTACGAACAAAATAATGGAAATAAAAGTATGACTGTCATTTTTCAGTGGTTACCAGTTTACTGCCCTCAAGCTACATGCCAGATCCTACTTACTGAGCGACTATTGATTGACTAGCGTTGTGTTTTACAAATAGTAAATGCACCTCCGTATGCTATTTCATGGTAAAGCAACAGTATTAGACATGCACATCTAATTGAATGGATTGTGCAGATGCTGCTATTCTCCAGAAGTGAAGCTGGTTTCTACTTGCGTTAGTGATACAATATATATTAGAACCCTTTATAAAGTTTCATTGATCTATGCGATTTCTCTGCCTGATAAAGGATTGTTCAACAGACGTGTTGACTGTGAAAAACCTGTCACTCAAAACAGCCAGTGATCTGATGTTTTGTGACGTGATTAAACCCCCAACATGTATAATATGTACAGATCTTGTTTCATTGTCATTTAATTTATAGTTTTTATGTTTCAATCAATCAGTCACTCTAAATGCCCGACACAAGTTATCACCGCCCAAAGTGATGTCTCAGTTTTTATATCCAGCTTATTCAAAATGGTTTATATTTTGTAGGATTAAAGATTCGACCAGGACAAACGACATTACTGTGCCACTTCTAGGATGGTAAGGGAAAACATTCACAGAGTTATTCTAGACAAAGGTGTTTTTTTTTGTTTTTTTTTCCTGGTCTTTTGTAACCATTGCATTGTGCTGGCAAAGTTATTTGCACTTCAGAGCACCATTTTATTAAATTGTGATTGCTGCATTCACAAGAAGAGAAAAAAAATGGCGTGCATACACACTTATCCAACAGGGCTCATGAAAATGACGTCTGTTCAAGTAGGCTCGACTTAAATTGATTTTTGTGTTTATAAATAGACGGGTACATGGTACCGGAAAGGTATCCTTGGGCAGTTTTGCACATTTGTGCTTGTTGAAATGGAGTCTTTCTGCCACTATTCAGACTTTTTGGCCTTATGTTGTTCTGATCACTTTTTCTCTGGCTGCAATAAGACATTCTTTCTCCCCTATCGTTTCTCCAGGGCAGCTTGAGAAGCAGCCACCAGATATCGCCCCAGGAATTCCTGGGAGAGCTGAAGTCGGGGGTGATGGACGAACGTCTGTTTGCCTGTCTAGACTCATTGCGAGTGTCGCTCACCAGCAACCCTGTCAGGTACAGTGCAAGATCATGACAGTGCTCTCTTCTTTTAACTGTTTAACTGATTATCAGCAGTGATTGGTGCCCTCACTATTGTCTCTTTTCTAATTCCCTGTGTTAGTAATTATTAGTCTCAATACATGTTGTTTTATTAAAGAAGTACTGCACACTTAAAGATATTTTTTGAGCTGTAAACTAAGTTATACGACTGCCCTGTGATATGTGATATTGATATTGTTTGAAATCAGCCCTGAACCTTGCAAGGCCAATGCTGACAAAGTCGACCAGTTGGGACTTATCTATATCTTTTTTTGTAATAACACCAATATTTTTCAAACATTTTTTCGTTGATTTTGCTGATCATTTAACAAGGAGAGTGTGGTGTAGATTCAAACCTTAGAAGTGCTCCAGCTATCCGCTTCTTTTTGCAAAATTGTGTTTGGCATTATTATGATCAACTTCTATGCCCCACTAATTAAGTTCAATCCAATAACCCAGCAATGACGACTACCTTTTAAAGTTGTTCTAAGATGTTAAAAGGGTCAGATTCCACAGTAATGCATTTTCACTTAAGGTAGTCTCTGTTCATCTGTTAATCAAAATATTTGTCCTACGTTGGGAGGTTTTGCATGCATTGTTTATCGCCGTCATTATTATTTTTTATAAAGGAAAAATGCTTAAAAAGAAATGTGGTAATGTTCACATTTAATACCTTGCATTAACGTATTCTCTTTGTTAATAACCTCTTACTAATTACTATTACTATGTTGTGACAATGTGTTTTAGCTTGTATGCTACCTGCATATTAAGATACATTGTCCCCTGTCTGGTCGTAGTCATGAGTTTAACAAAAAAGTAATTGGAATGGATCCTTTCACATTTGTATTTGTAATGCATGAAATGAACTCTTTTGACCTCGGCTTTCTGTTTCCTTTTCACTTCAACTATTTACATTATTGTGTCTTTGTCAAATATTCGTTTTGCAGCATGGTGTTTATATTATTATTTTGGCAAAAATTCCAGATATAACAATTTTGTAACTGTACATTTTTAGACTGGGATAAGAGGTTATGCTCTAGTGCACATTTTGAATATAATAATGTTTGTGGTAGGATGGCTAGTTTTGTAAAGTTACGCTTTTTGCCAGAACAACTAAATCCGACTGTGACGGAGGGGGGGGGGGGTGTTCCTTTTGGTTCTGTCTCGGCTACATTGACGAGCAGATCCCTGGCAGTCTTGTCTTGGTTGTCTCCCTCTCTTAGATTTAGATTGTTGCTTTGGGCTCTCTCTGAATTCGGGGATTTGCAAGTTTGTTTTTCGCATTATCATTTACTCTGCGAGAGCCGCTTTGGAGGAGGTCAATGTAAGCTCAAACATTTAGTCCTCGCTGACCTTCTTACACTTTACCACCACCAAGCACCATACACACAGATATATGATTTATTTGATCCCAGCAAGCCATTTTCACTAACTCAATATCACAGATACTTTTCTGTTCAACACAGGGTTTGTATGGAATTTTAAAATAGCCTTTTCCAGGCCTGAATAAGCTTTGGGAAAACCGTGGGTACCAATGTGGGGACACTTGCTGCTACCCTGAACAAACTCAGGTCCCCCAAAAAAACATGGCAGAGACTGAGATCAAGATTTGACTGGACTCTTGACCGTCCACTTAGAGTTGACGGAAGGATAAGCCTCCCGGTGGCTCAGAGGCTCACTGTTGACCATGTCAGATCTGTTGGGAGCATAACCAAAGCAGAGATCACCAATAAGCTGCTATACTTTTAGCTGCAGGAGCCAGGCAGGCGCACTGTGGCTACCCGGAGGAACAGATGAGAGAGAGGGAGCAGCAAGATGTTGCCCTGAAAACAGAGGCCTTCACAGATGAGCTGGAAGAGTGCTAATACCGATGCATTTGCATCCTCAAGAAATCAGTGGATGAATACGCTGAGAAATCACAAGCAACAAGCAAACTGACCTTGATCACCAAATGCAACGCTTTCTGCCAAGCTGCAGAAGAAAAGAAAGCCTCTCTGCTCGAGATAGAAAAGCAGATTGATGAGAAAAGATGCAGAAATAGCCACATAATGGTACCGATTTATAAAACGTCTGAATTAAGGCTTTTCTTGGTCTGTCCGCAAGACAAACAAGCAAACGACTTTTAAAAAGCTAGTTTTCTGGATGGAGTTTGGATCGATCAGTATATAGCTGCTCCATCAACACATAAACTAAAGTCACCTTATTGTTTATACCATAGACAGTCTATGGTTTATACACATACATTTTCACTCATAGTTATGTGTGGTCTTTGTACAAATATGACGTAATATCCCATAACTCTGGGTGCCCAATATTTTGTCATCCATTTCTGATTCAACAACCGAGGGATGTCAACACGAATAGGCTTTCGCTACACAGCGTCACAGCGTCTCGCTCCAGTTGAATTTTTCAAATCTATAGTTGTAAGTCTGCCTATTTGTGTGGCGTCATTGACTTTGTATGTAATGGTGCCGTGGCGAAAAGTTAGCTTGGTGTTCGTAGTGAACACACTATATTCTTATCATGGCTTATAAAGCCTTCCTACTGCCAGGCAAGAGAAAATGAATGTTCAGAGCTTTTAATGATGATGAATCCACTTTCTTTGTAAGCCTCAGTTTTTTTTTTTGTTTTTTTTTAAATTTGAATCAATGACATTAGAAAAACACTGAAAAACACTGTCAAGGACAGATACTGTATGCTTCAGAGCTTTAATTAGGCAAACATACTCGAGTGTTAATGTTAACAGTAAACATGAGGTAATATATGTTTGTCAGTTGCCTTTTTTGATGAAACATTGGTTGGATTAAATTGATATAAGTGACCATAATAACTCATATAATATCTGTGACTGAATTCATTTTAGTGATGGACTATGACGGAAACTGTATATGTAAAATATATTGTTCAAAAAAAATGACCGAAATGGAGTATAAAGACAAACTCAATGAATTGCATATAATAATAAAACAAAGGTGTCAAAGTGAAGTCATGTTCATCCACACCTCTCTGTTATTAGCATTTTTCGCTCTGTGCCTGCATCCTCTGCCCTGTTGTACTTATACATAGACTGTATATGAGAAGTGGACGTAGTCATCGTGACGTCACCCATTGGTGTGTGGACTGACGTTTTGAAGCCTCGAGTTTGCCGATTTGGCTGTCGCCATCTTGGAATACGGCCGTCGCCATGTTGTTTTTTTTGCAAGCAATGAACGGAAATTACCATATTTGGAATGCGGAGGAGAGACGTGGTATACGGCTCTGGTAGCGACAGCGACCTGTCAATCACAGGAACAAACTCCACTTTATGGTGTATTTCACTCTAAACTGGACCATGGTGTACTAAATGAACATCATGCATTATCGAAGAAGACTTGAAACTAGCGATTGAGACCATAAACTCCTTTAACTTACAATGTTTACTGTTTAATATATCAAGTGAAAAGTAGGGTCATTTTCTCATAGACTTCCATAAGAACTGACTTCTTTTTGCAACCAGAGGAGTCGCCCCCTGCTGGTCAGGAGAGCGTGTAAGTTTTAAGACACATCCGCATTGGCTTCACTCTGTAGAACCGGAGGTTGCTGCCTGGTCTACAAACAGTTTTAAGAGCTTGGTGAATGAGAAGATTGCAGATAGAATTGACACAGGCAACAACAGGGCTTGATGGTAAAGAAAACGCCAATAACTGCTAGTATTTGTACCGACCGTTGCGGTTGCTCTGCCTCATTGTGGTGAATCTGTTACTTTTCAGGTACAAAGCAGTGGCTATGTTACCTCTTGCCATTTGGTTTAAGGCTAAAAAAAGAAAAGTTTATCGTGATCTAATTGATCTGCATCTGGAATTTTGTGCTTTATCTTGTTGATTGTGTGATAAATGCTATATGAAGGCTGTTGTTGCTTGTTATAAATTCGACAGTTGGGGCAGCGGCACCATGTAAAAATGTCTAGAAACATTCTAGGAACCGTGTTATTACATCTTGAACAAATCGAACGTGTATATAATACTGTATATAATGTATAAATAAAGTATGTGATAGCTTGCTAAATGAGCTCCCATAAAACCGTGGTATAAAAAGCAACAGTCTCTGCGTACCCACTGCTGTTTATGGGACCCTCACCTGTGTGATCCTCGTGGAAAACGTGGCCAGGCAGGCCCCCACTTTTGATGAGGTCACCACTAATAAAATGGACGGTCAGGCTTATGTATAATGACATAGTCTGGCTTGATCATAAACCTGCCTTGGCTAGAAACAGTGGGCCGACGGCGGTAACCCGTTACTACCTAATGGCACCATTACGATCCTGAGTTGTGGGGATTGATTTGGCGATGAAGGTATTTTGTTGCCTCTGTTTTTGGATGCTGGTCACTGTCACTTTCTTGGAAGCGTGGCAGCAAACATCTCTCACTCACTGCCTCAATCCAATATCAGGTGTTGTCAGATATAGGCTGACAGACTTATGGGCTCCCTCATCAGGTTCCTCCTGGCGGAGAGGGCAGACTTGGAGGTAATTTTGTACTCTCTGCAGCTCCAGAGTGTCCTGTGACGCTCGCCTCTGACCCCTTACCCACCTACGCTGCTCGAGCTCTCGCTCTCTTTTTTTGTGAAGCGAGGCCACAGTGCTGGCCCACAGGACCAGCAAGGCTACAGGATGTAATTTTGTTAAATGGATTTGATAAATGGATCTGACAAACAAGTGGAAATTGGTTTTTGATTTTATATTAAAGCTGACCTTCAGGTTTAAGGTTCCAGATTTATTTTCAGTTTAGCGTCTCTCTTCCTTACGCTAACGTTTTTAATATGCCTTGGTTGCTATTCTCTCATACGCCCGCCACCCATGTGGTGCACACACAAAGCTACAAAGAACAAACCACATGTTGTATTTCCTATTCATGTTAAATGGTAGGTTGTTAAAGCTGTAATTTGAATTCAAATTTTTTTTTCTCTCATCAGTGACGTAAGTATAAGAGCTTTTGACA